TCTCAAGACTTGAGACTTGACTTGGACTTGCAAAAAATGACTTGTGAACATGTCTGCTGCTGTGAGACTGAGACAAGGAACCCCTGGTTGTTGCTGCCCTGACTGCTGAGCTGCAGCTGGACGAAACTCAAGCCCTCTAATGGACACGGAAAGAAAGGTTGATGATTAGGGACAAAACAGACAAGTCTAAAAATGTTTTTAACTAATTTAAATTAATAGAATCAAACACAACATAGATCAGGGTAATTATCTGACAGCCGTCATAAATTGATATATACCCAATTCCTATATATATATATATATGCCATAGCAGAAGGTTGCTGCATGTTGGAGTAGCTTTGGTAGCTTGACTCTGATATCCTGTTTTTAAAGAACTTCAGTCCCTCCGTTTGTGGCTCAGTCTCTTTTTCTCTGTTTTTTGTTTTTTTATTTGTATTTTGAATTCTGTGAAACTGTTTGTTGATGTATCGTTTCAGCTTTTGTTAACTATCTGCTCCTGGGCGTAAGAAATCAACTGAGGATGGTTGTTATGGTAACTTATCATAACAAGGTTCTGAAAAAGGAAATGCAAATTGTCTTCTTCTATTGTTAAATGTCTGACTGACCTTCTTGGTTCAAGAAAAAATTCACTTATTATAAGAAAAAATGACTTATCTAGATTTAAATTTTTTTTTTTTCATTTCCAAAGCAATGCTTGAGTGTCCGTAGCTCATATTGCTCTGGCATACCTCAATCTCTTAGGTTTGCCTCATTTTTCTGTGATTTAGGGTAAACCAGGGAAGCCTGGGACAGACGGCGCTCCAGGACCAAAAGGATCTCAGGTATAGTTTGATTTATCTCCATGTTCTCCAGTCTGTGAAAAGTGTTCAGTGATCAGCTGCTTTGTTTCTATTCAATGACTTCAGGGAGAACCTGGAACCAACGGACGTCCAGGAATAGAAGGCCTTCAGGTACGTCGCCACATTGCCATGGGAACCGCTTTACTGCATTTACAAGCGTTTTATGGAAACAAGATTGAGAGCTTTAAAGCTCAGGTAGTTTAACAGAAATGATGAGATGCAGGAGGCGGCTGCAGAAAATGTGTCATTTCTGAATGTTTGATTTATGGTGTACAGATAAACACATTTACATGTTAGCAGATGAGGAGCCATCCACGGCTCCAGCCTTATCAAATTATTACACTTTGTTCTTAGCTGAAGGACGCCACTCTCATTCCATTCCCAAATGTTTGCTACGTACAGAATGAAGAATATTACTATATATCCTTACAGAGGAACTGCCTTAATTAGATAAACTCCCAGGGAAAACATCAGTTCTGACTAGGGCTGTAAATCACATCCATCATGGCGATTCGATTCAGTATCAATTTCCTGACCCAACGATTCGATTATTTTCGAAACTCAAAAAAAACACCACAAAAGGATTCGATAATTTTTTTTTTATTTTTTTTTTTACTCCTTACAGTCTAGACAATGTTTTAAATTTGAAATAAATCAATGAAAGCTGTAATATCGTTATGCATTTTATTTTAGAATCAACAGCAAATAACAGAAGTAGAAAAGTTTTGCTCCACCTATTCCTATTAAAACCTCATTCACTGAAAAATAATAAAACCCCTGCGTTATAGATTCTGAAAGGCTTTACATCAGAAAATACTGCAGAAAATCAGTGCAATGAGTTCAATACCTTTGCTCCAGACGTCCCGCCCCCTCCACAGACGCTCCGCTGCTCCTCTCCCAGATTGTAGCTGACCGCAGACAGGAGGCCGGCTTGTTTTGTTTCTATGACCGAAATTGCGGAAAACAACTCGTGAAGTTTGACCCGCTAGAAGAGCGAGGTGCGCGAGAACGATGGAACACTTTTTCCACCTGGA